TATCAAATTACTTAATCATTTCATTTGATAACTGTAATTGTGTTAAAGTATAATAAAATAATAAGTATTGCATATGTTATGATTAACTGGGGCATTGGTAACCGGTTTGAAAAGTATGATTAACTAATTATAATATGTGAAGTATGATTAACTAAATATGATATGTGAATTATGAACCTAGACACGTGCAATTTCAGCCAGGGACATCAAAATATTTACATAGAGTGATTGATATTCAAGACCAATGAAAACACAAACAACTTTGTGAAGACTTGGCGGATTACATCTATGTTGGTCACGAAGATGAATCTATCCTAATAAATAAAAATGATTTTGCCACATGTCCTCTTCTCCTTCATTTTGACACTTGTCATTTTCTAGATTTTTTTTGAATGATTTAATATCCACTTGTCATTTTTATAGTTTTTTCCTTTTTATTCAAATCTCACCTCTTAAATGCCACCTCATATTAATTATCTTTATAAATATATTAATTAATGTACATAATAAATTTCTATTTTTGAATTCCTCTTTCTATAAATATATTAATATTAATTAATTAATGTATATGTATATTAATGTAGATAATACATTCCATTTGTAAATTAATATTAATTAATTTTATTAGTATAGATTAATTAAGATCAAATTACATAAATAATCCATATAGTTTATCAAAAAGTTACAAACTCATTCGTTACTTATTTTTTTTATGAACATGGTCTTTATGGTTACAAAACTTTCTTTTAATAAACCCGTGTAATACACGAGTTTCACACATAGTAGTTTAAATAAAAAAAATGTAGTTTTTGTCATCATTTTTTTTTTTTAGGTTTTTAAATATTTTTGTCTTTTGTTGTAATTTTTTAAATATTGTTTTTAATTTAAGATTTATTAAAATTTTATTTTTACTTTTCAAATGTTATTTTTAATTTATGATTTAATTTATATGATAAATATAATTGTTATGATATAAATAAAAAAACAAATTCAAAATATAGAAAAGAAAAACATAAAAAAATTAAAAAATAAAATAGAAAATAAATTGTGTTATCATATGTTATTAGATGTTGTCCATTTCTAGCTTGTCTGTTATAATAACGATGTATGAGTAGAATGTAATCACATTTTGGTATGATAACATGCGATACACCCGGTCTAAAGCCTTACCAAACTCGTTCCGATAACGTGAATTCTCGGTCAAATACACTTTGGTAAAATCGTCAACCTCTCGATTAATCTTCTCACCTCATCTGCCAAGAAGGCAACAACACAACCAATGCCACTTCCTCACAAAATGGAAGTTGGAAGCGCAATAAAAAAATGGGATAATAACTTGAAAAGGTAACGAACTTCGATTTTTTTTCACATTTAGTCATTAAACTTTTTTTCGTTATCTATTTGCCATTGAAATATTGAAACTGTTCACATTTTACCTTTATGACCGGCTGTTACCGGTCATAAGGGTAAAATGTGAACAATTTTAATAGTTTAGTGGCAAATAGATAACAAAAAAAAGTTTAGTGACTAAATATGAACAAAATCAAAAGTTCGTTTCCCTCTAAAAAGTTCAATGACTAAATATGAATAAACTTCCTCTTGTATTATGTTTTAGCAAATTATTTATTTTTTTAAAAATTAGCAACATTTGTTGATGAAGAAATCTATGAAATAAATAAACAAAACCCTGAAAATATATTTAAAAAAAAACAAAAAACCGAAACCGAAATAAAAAATCAATTGTTTGACATTTTCCAAAATAAAAAATCAAAATTTCCAATCTGATTTTGGTTTTACAAAAAAATGAACCATTCTCACTGATATGAATTATGACTATTGGTTTGACATGCGGAATTTGTGACATCCCATGAATACGTAGTTACAACATCGTCTGAACTCGTAATTCATAGTAAGGGGTTAGAGTATCATTGCATGAATATGTAGTTACAACATCGCCTAAACTCGTAATTCATCACCTACAAGTTATGGGTCTGCTGGTGTTTCCACTGGGTTGTCTAGAATAGTCCGTGGTTGTCATCTATACTCTGATAGATGACTACATCGCCACATTGTCGGTTAAGGTTATGGTATCTCCTTTCATCCTACATCACCTATTCATCATCATCTATTTACCTAATTATCATCACCTTTCTATCATCACCTATCTCTCTTCATTTTATTTCATCACACACCAACTATTTCATCTATCCATGTTTCATCCGCAACATATTTGTAGATATAAAATAAATATACCATTTAAATCTTTTAAAACATGTATAAAATCGTTCATCCAGGATAGACAACAAGTATTCAAATAATATGCACACATAGCACGTAATTTATATAAAATACTTCATATCTATGTGTAAGATGAAAGTATTTATATATACCATAAAAATCTCATAAATGCTTCCTAACTTCAAACCCTAAGGTTTACTCTACTAAAGCTTTATATTATTGGCTCTCTGGACCTAGAAGGGTCCAGATTCCTAACTTCAAACCCCAAGGTCCTTGCTTGAATAACTCAGAACAATAACCTTCCTTGGTCTCTCTTGCTGGAACTCTTCTCCTTTCTCTTGCTGGAACTCTCACTCTACACACTCAAGCTTGCTAGGGTTCTCACTTATGGGAAAGGTAGTCGCAATTGAAGGCCATAAGTGACTTTAAATATGGCTCGGGCTCAAAGATTTAGGGTTTCTGCCAACAGCACGGACTCGTCGAGTTGCCTCACCGACTCGTCGAGTCCATTCATTAATCCGAGTCATCAGTCGCGACCTTACTCGATGAGTTGAGGCGTCAACTTGTAGAGTATCTCTTCTTAACTCAAAAGAAAAATACTTAAATTATGATACCTGGAAATCCGGATGTTACATTTTGTTTTTTTGTTTCATAGATTTCTTCATCACAAATGTTGCTACAATTAAACAAAAATAAATAATTTGCTAAAACATAATACAATAGAAAGTTTGTTCACATTTAGCCATTGAACTTTTTAGAGGGAAACAAACTTTCGATTTTGTTCACATTTAGTCACTAAATTTTTTTACGTTATCTATTTGTCACTAAACTATTGAAACTGTTCACATTTTACCCTTATGACCGGTAACAGCCGGTCATAAGGGTAAAATATGAACAGTTTCAATAGTTCAATGACAAATAGATGACGAAAAAAAATTTAGTGACTAAATGTGAATAAAATCGAAAGTCCGTTACCCTTTCAAGTCATTATCCCTAATATATATATATATATATATATATATATATATATATATATATATATATTATATATATATATATATATATATATATATATATATATATATATATATATATATATATATATATATATATATATATCCCCTACATTTTTAAAACAATAAAAATCATAAGATTCAGGGGAGGTTTGGGTTTATGTGATTATGTCGTCTCTCTCTTTCTTTGGGGTTTGGGTTACTTCTGTGTTTTTAACTAGATTCAAACCTAACGCTCTTACTAAAACTCACTAAATATTTATTGAAAACAAATTCTTTACTGTTATTTTCTTCCAATTTGTGCTCAAATTTTGAAAGTTCTTGAGTAATTCTGTGTGTATTTGTTTCCCGAAATGGTGGCAACAGATGCTGTTGTGTATCTGCATAGGAAAATAAATAACATCCCCTTGTGGGTCTTATTCCAGGACACCAGGTATTTTAACAAATATTAAGAAGTTTTTGAAATTTGGGTTGATTTCAACTTCTGTTGGCTTCAATTATCTTGATATTGATGATCGAATGAGAATCTTAAAATAGTATTTCTTGCTTTTTGTTGATTAAATATGTATTTAGTTGAATCTGATGTGTTTCAGGAGTACTTTTAGCAAGGATGAGCTGAATTTAGAAATCACAAAGATCGCAGTCCCTGCAGCCTTGGGTTTAATGCCAGACCCCATTGCTTCTTTGATTGACACAGCCTTCATTGGCCATTTAGGTTAATTTGATAACTTCTGTGTATAACAAGTTATATATATACTTATTTTGGGTAATGCAAAACATTGAAGCTTTTTAAATAATATAGGATCTGTGGAGCTTGCTGCTGTTGGGGTTGCCATAGCTATTTTCAATCAAGCTTCAAAGATCGCAATATTCCCACTTGTAAGCATCACAACTTCTTTTGTGGCTGAAGAAGACAGCGCTACAAGCTCAAGTTCCAATCTTCGAGTGATTGACTTTTTAACAATATTATTCTGTCTTTCCACTTGTAAAATTTTGTGGTAATTAATTAATTATTAACATGGTTTTGGGATTTGAGCAGAGGATATGAACAGGATGCCGAATAACACTGGGAGAAGACATATCTCATCAGCTTCATCGGCTTTATTGATAGGTGGCATGCTTGGTCTCATCCAAGCTCTTTTGCTCATTGTCTCTGCAAAACCAATATTAAGTTATATGGGTATAAAATCTGTAATTTTTAGGTTGTGGATTGGTGCAACTTATATCATTTTTTAACAAAAAAGAATATTCTAAATATATTACTACTTTTATAACTCATTTGAAGAAGCTTTACACCATTTGTCCATTTATTTACACAAAAAACGATGTTAACATCTTGAAACCGGTATTAGGGTCGTTGGTTTAATTATCATATTTAGGATATTATAAATATAACTTTTCAAGTTTCAACAATATTCTCCAATGGTTGCTAAATTAAGTTTATTTATGGTGTTTTTTTTTAATTAATTATATAAGATTTCGAATTATTGGCTTTGTCTTATATAAGCGTATGTGAAGGTACTTAATCTCATTGATCATCCTATGGAAATTGATGGAGCAAGTTGACCTTTTACCTCCACACATTAAAGATTTGCAACTCGGTCGGTTTTTAAAAAATGGTAAGAAATGTCAATCCGTCATGTCATATGAATGTATAAATAACTAAATGATGTGTTTAATTACCTTTTCTTTATTTGTTACAGGGTTTCTTTTATTGATGAGAGTGATTGCAGCAACATTCTAGCATCCATGTCAACCAGGCTCGGATCAACAGAAATGGCTGCCTTTCAGATTTGCTTGCAGCTTTGGGTGGCAGCCTCGCTGCTTGCTGATGGTTTGGCTGTCGCTGGCCAGGTAGTCTTCTTGGAAATTAAAGTCAAAGAAAGGTCAAAGTCCAATAGAAATCACAACATTTAATGCTCATGATTTTGTGTCATGTGATGTATAATCCAGGTGATTCTTGCAGGAGCTTTCGCAAGACAAGATTACACGAGAGCAACAGCAACAGCTGCTCGGGAACTCCAAGTGAGTTTGACCTTTGACCTTTGACCATTTCTTGTTTTAACGATTTTTGTATATAATATATGTTTAATCTCTTTTTACTTTGTCCAGTTAGCTTTGGCTATGGGACTTGTTCTCTCATTAATTGTTGGTGTTGGATTAAGCTTCTCATCAGGAGTGTTTACAACTAACGCCAAAGTTCTACGACTCTTGAGTTTAGGCATCCCGGTATATATAATTATATATACATCCATTTTTTGTCTAATCTTTTTGGATGGGAGAAATAATTGCAATTTTTTGTTTTATTGACATCGAGATCTAGTCCAGTGCATGTCAAATATAGTATAATCTTGGAAAACAATGCGCTAATACATTTCATTTGGCTTGTTAATTAGTTTGTTGCAGCAACTCAACCCATAAATACAATTGCATTTGTGTTTGATGGGATCAACTATGGCTCATCAGATTTTTGTTACTCAGCCTTCTGAATGGTAAGTTCATTTTCTCTTCTGTCTATTTAAAATAATCCCATACCATTTCTTGTTTCTAATGTACCAATAAGTCGTTTTTTTTTTTTTTTTTTTTCTTTAGGTTTTGGTAGCCTTAGCAAGTGTTGTATGCTTGTGGTTATTATCCTCACATTACGAGTTTGTGGGCATATGGGTCGCATTATCCATCTTTATGGGTTTACGAGTAATAGCTGGCCTAGGGAGGTGAATTCTTGAACAAAAAAGAGGCCAATTCCATTATTCCGTCACTAGCTTCTTGCAAGTTCATTGTTTTCATAACTCGTAACTTATAATATAACTTTATGGTTTTGCAGGATTGGAACCGCTAGTGGACCATGGAGTTTTCTCAACAAGTATTAGGGGTTTCCTCTTTTGGTGTTCAATAGCACTAAATGAATATGTATACATGTGTATATGAACAAATAGTGGCTTGTTTGTTCTTTGTATAAACAAAAGATTCAGTATGAATGAGAAGGATGAATGTTTGGTTTAATGAAATGAAATTATGAAGGAATGAAATAGATCATTTAGGGAAGCAAGGTAAAAAAAAAAAAAAAAAAAGAGTTAATATGTCACGAAATGTTTTGGTCTTTAGGAGGAAATGGATTTTTATATGAATACGGGTTCATTTATTTTCACAGAACCCCTAGTTGAAGCTCATCAAAATCCATACAAAATTATAATACAAACACATTTTAAGTTTTTTTAAGAAAATAATATATACTTTTATTTAGAGTAAATTACACGAATGGTCCCTATGGTTTAGGAAAATTTACGTGTTTGGTCCCTAACTTATTTTTTTAATCCGGAAGATCCCTACTATTTATTTTTGTTACGCATTTGATCTCTGTCTTACCTAAAAAAACTATTTTTCCTCGATTTGTTAATTTATTTAAATAAACACAATGCTAACACCAATCCCTTTATCTTACCTTACATACATCATCATTTTTTCTTATTTAAATTATAGTCTTTTTAGGTAAGATAGGAACCAAACGCGTAACAAAAACAAATAGTAAAGACCTTCCGGGTTAAAAAAATAAGTTAAGGACCAAAAATGAAAATTATCCCAAACCATAGAGACCATTCGTGTAATTTACTCTTTTATTTAAAATGTATAAGTGTCAAAGATGTGTAACTCAAATTTAAGTATTGTACTTTTTCATTCCAAAATGATGGGATGAAAAAAAATATATGCATCAAGTAAGACTATCCGTTAAATTATAGTTTTGGTCCCTATGCTTGAAACCAATGTGTAATTTGAGATTTTTTTTTTTTTTTTTTTTTTTTTTTAACTTTTCAATTGCTACCATGATCCTCATGACTAACTCTATCAATTCTCATCCGCTAAATACTTGTAAATCGATCATTATACTTTATACACCTCATTTTGTTTATTTTTTCTATCAATTTGATATTGCTAATAACTAAATATTAAAAAAGCCTTAAAAGAGATCAACCCCATTCATTGCCTCTTTCTTCACCTCCCACTTTTGTTTTAGTTTTTCTCAACGTTGCATATCCAACGCTGCAATGCCGGATGCTCCATCTTTGCCAGATACATCGTCTCTCTTACTTGTTATCACCTCTGGGCACTAACATTGTAACCCACTCCTTCAACTCCACCCACCGGCTACGCCATCTCTTATTTGTATTTTTTGTTGATTCGTTTTCCTAGTAAGTTTTCTGATTTTTCAACGACAGGTTGATGTTGGGTGATGTGGTGATGATGGTACTGGTAAATTGCTAATAGTGGTAGTGTTTCATGGTTGTGATTGGTGGCGGTGATGAGAATTAGCAGTGTAATAGTGGCGGTGGTTGTGATTGGTTGTATAGTGGTGGTGTAGTCGTGGAGGTGATCATTGGCGGTGGCTATTGTTGGTGTAGTGGTGATATTGGATGGGATACCCCTTCTTATTTAATGATTAAAAAAAATAAAAGAATTTAAAAAACTAGGATAATCTTCATTTTTTTTTTTTTGAATTTATCCAAGTTACTTTTGATATTCTGATAGGATGTTGCTAAAAACACACCAATCTATCAATTTTATCCTATTACATCTACTCTAAACATTAATCATTATATATTTTTCTAAAAAAAGTATTTTTTTTTCTTGTCTGTCTCTTTTTTTTTTTCTCTATCTTTCTCTTTCATTATATATATAGAATATAAAATTTATTTCATTATGTTTTTGAAATTCTTATAAACATTAAAATATTACGAGAAGTTAAAATATTATTAAATAATTGATATCATTTTTATTAATAAATTAATTGATTATATTAATATTATTGATTTTAAACTTATTTTTTATAAGATAAATAGAAAAAACCAAATAACTCATATTTTGTTTCCTTAACTGCACACTTCTTTTTTTAATTTTTTTAGTTATATTTTATTTTCATTTCATATTTAAAAACTAGTATATATATATATTTGCATCGCAATCAAAAAAGATTTTTTTTATTTGTTTTGCATCGTTCTTAACTGCATACTTTTTTTCTTATTTATATTTTATTTTCATTTTATATTATAAAAGGACAAACCAAATAACTAATAGATATATTTTGTATAAAAATACTTTATTAAAACAATTAATGTGGATTTACAAGAGTTCTATTTTTTTCAGAATAAAAGATCCATTAAAGGAATTTCACGAAAAAACGCATAGACTATCTTTCCTTTAATTATATATCTAATCAAATAGAAAAAATATATAATCGTATTTATCTTAAAATTATTATATAATAAATATATAAAGACATCAATAAAATCTTAATCTTCCCTAAGTATGATATGTCATGACTATCAAAACTTTTATAAATATTTAAATTTGATTAAAATTTTATTTTATATGTTTCAATTAAAAAATAAATTTATTTATTTGTGTAAAAAATAGTTATAATAATAGAGAGAGAGAGAGAACTACGATATTAAAAAAAAATGGATAAATGGTCAACAAAAAAATGTAAGATATAAATTTTAAAAAATAAAGCCTACAACAAATTAAAAGTCACTCACAATCAAAATTGGTCTATAGTTTAGATTTCATAAAACTTTATACCTAAAACTAGGTTGGTGTGTGCAGTAATTGTTTAGAATGGTTTGTAGAAAGCAGGGCTGAACATGGTACGGTACCAATTTATTTTTAGTCAAAACCGTGTACCGTACCAATTCTATTTGGTATAAATTTTTTGCTACCAGTACCGTACCAAGTAAAATTGGTACCAACTTGTTTGGCTACCAACAAGTTTGGTTGGTACATATTGGTAACGGTACATTACCAAATTCTATCTACTTTTCAATTGTAATAGTTAAAAATCCGCAATGACAACATGAGACAACTTTCTTGTCTAGTAATATAAATTAGTAAAATAACTATATTAGTTACTAAAGAATTTTATTAATTTTTTAGTTTTTTAATTTAATGCGGTAATAACTATTGAGTAAGTGTAATGACTAAATTGTAAAGGAAAATATGAATTGGTTGGTACGGTAATACCGTGATATTTAAAATTTAATACAGTTACCGTACCAAGTTTATTAAATTGGTATGGTACTACCAACCAAACATATTGGCTACCGAACATATTGGTAAGTTCGGTTGGTAGCATGTTGGTTGGTTCTCCATAATACATATTTGACAGCCCTAGTAGAAAGTAGTAGTCATATAGAATATAAAATTTATTTCATTATGTTTTTGAATTTCTTATAGACATTAAAATATTATGAGAAGTTAAAATATTATTAAATAATTGATATCCTTTTTATTAATAAATTAATTGATTATATTAATATTATTGATTTTAAACTTATTTTTAATAAGATAAATAAATAAATAAACTAAATAACTCATATTTTGTTTTAACTGCACACTTCTTCTTTTTTTTTTTTTAATTTTTTTAGTTATATTTTATTTAGTTATATATATATATATATATATATATTATATATATATATATATATATATATATATATATATATATATTTGCATCGCGATAAAAAAAGATTTTTTTTATTTGTTTTGCATCGTTCTTAACTGCATACTTTTTTTCTTATTTATATTTTATTTTCATTTTATATTATAAAAAGGACAAACCAAATAACTAACAGATATATTTTATATAAAAATACTTTATTAAAACAATTAATATGGATTTGCAAGAGTTCTATTTTTTCAGAATAAAAGATCCATTAGATTAATTTCACGAAAAAACGTATAGATAATTCTATCCTATTACACCTACTCTCAACATTAATAATTACATTTTTTTGTGAAAAAGTACTTGACCATGCAGGAAAAGGATGTAGGCATGTAGCTGTGTCCCAACAATTTTCTTCTTTAACTCACATGAGCCCATGACGGAGGTTGTGATGCCAATTGTAAGGTTAAGATTTTATTTCCAGGTTAGCTAAGGAAACAGTAGAAACACAATATAATATCTATAATAAATCTCCTTGTAAGTAGGTCAGAAAAAACTAGACTTATTATAAAAAAGATTTTTATTAAACTAATCACATTAAGAGGGGGTAGTTATCAAAAATTACCATATTTATCTCATTTTTTTTAAATCAACTAACTTGTGCGGAATACGGTATTTCGATGTAATAAAGTATGTTTCGGACTGTTATAAAGTTGGTGATATTTGATGTAAAGATAGTATGAAATTTGATGTATCTGAATTCTGAAAGTAGATTCGCTCCGAAACGATGAGACATGGCACAAAGTTCGTGAATTGATATAAACTTATTCGGGACTTATTTAATGTTAATTTCGTTTTCGTTACAACACCATTCCCTCTTAGGAAAATTATGGTAAGCTTACTCCAGATATATTTGGATTCATCGTATATTCGTCAAAATGATAGCATATTATGGTCTTATATCGTAATTTACTTCGTTATTGGTAAGTTTTTTGAGTTTTGTCTATATGAGCTTGAAACAAAACATTCAAGACATCATTCTAAAATAGTTTGTCGTATACAGGGCTGATTTGTCGTATTAGGACCGGAATACGTGTTCCAAATTTGTTGTGAATGTCTAATAGACATTTTTTTCTAGGTACCGTACTCAAAATTAACATATATTTGTGATTTTTTGTGTTAAAACCTGTTATGAATATTCAAGGAAGGAATCTAGAATGGTCATTGTTTAACGAGAAGGAACCTAAAGAAGTCATCATGTCAAAAGGTTGTTTTTCCCTAATTTGATGTACATTTAGACTTGGTTTAAGGTGCCCTAATATACCTACCACACTTGCATATTGAGAAGTCTAAACATCAAAAGGAAAAGGGTACCCAATATTTTGGCATCAAGTAATTAAATGCATTTGACCAAGTGCAAGTAAGCTTCATATGTGTTCGATCTACTTTTATCTTCAACGAATGGCCCGTTAGATACTGTATTTAATTAAGGTTTTGGTTTTAGTTTTAGAGGATGTTAGGGTATGTATTGTATTTTGTTATGGTTTAAAGTTTATATCTTATATTTTAATATATTTGGTTATATGTAT